TGTGTTAACTTTGTGCTTAATACACCCCTGAGATCATACAACAATATCTCTGAAATAAAGAGGTTTAATGAACTTTTATGAGTATATAATTTATTTGGGAACAGTTTGTTTTATAACCTTTCCCATGTGGATCAGTACACATAGCACTTAAAACTTCTAGGCATCTAGCTCCCATGTGAATTTCATCCTGAAGCCACCAGGAATAAGGTTGAATAGATTATCATTTTTGTCAACATAGTTCTCCTTATTAAAAATTGCTTACGTTTTCTCTGGTATGCAAGGCTATCAATATTGGTTAAAAGCCTTCATGCATCCTTCAAGGATTTGTGTTTTCATGCTTGTGGAGAAGAGTGGAATCAAAATTTTTGCCTCATCTGAGTACTCTGACATAGTTCTGATACGTCATGAACTCAGATCTATCAGAGTCAGTCTCTTAAAACATGGAGCAGTTTTCTGTATCTTTATCATGGCAGGAGGAAAATGATCCTTTAGTTCAATGGTAGCATGAAAGCATTCCCTCACACACACCTCTCAAGGTCAAAAGAAAATGTGTGTGTGCCTTTCTCTGCTGACCTACTTGGTGGGAAGAGAATGAAGTCTGATTGCTGCTTTTCTCTTCACCAGTTGCATCTGGTGTCTATCCTGGTTCTTTTGTATTCGTCAGTAGGGTGACAAGATGATTCCAGAGCAGGCTGTGCTGATTTTGACCCAAAGGTTCATCTGGAAGCTATATATAATTACCGTTAAATTATGAACCAAGGCAGTTAACTGTGAAACATGTACTTCCTGCAGTTATAGGCCAGAATCTTTCATAGGAATTGTTCTAGTCCAGTAAATTTAGGTTTCTCATCTAATTTAAGTGTAATAATAAGTGTAAGTGGAGCCTTCTGGTAAGATTTGGAGCACTACAGATACAATGGTTTATCCGCTATTTTTGGTTTGATCCTGCAATTCTTTCATGCATGCCCTCCATTTATGCTAATTTAATAAAAATATATTTGCTAGAACTTGAGCTATACCTATCTGCTAAAATCCTTGAGTTCATAGAAATACCCTTTTTTACCTAAAAAGATACATGTGAGTTATGTTTGTTGACACATTGAACATCTAAAATTCCTTTCTTTATATGCTTCTTCATGTAACAGTTTGCTACTGCATGTTCCTGGAGCATGAGATACTTGGACTTCTAGATAATAAGACTTCACGATTTTCACAGTAACAGTTTTGAGCTCTTGTCCTACAGGTGTTCCTTTCCAGTTGTTCTGCAATTCATGGCTAACAGTGCAAAGCTACATTAATTATTAGCCCACTACGTAGTTTTCCCCCAGAGTATTCCTGATAAAATCCCAGTGAGAAATTAGCCTGACGCGTCCCCATAACGTTATCTGATCTAGACAATTATATATGCAATCCAGAATTTAGCACCTGATATTTCCAGGTTTTAGAATTATTGCATTTACTGTTAGGGTAGTTTGAAAATTGCATATACAGAATAATACACTGATTCTTGACTACGGAAATAGAGCAGATCCAATGACACGGTATTTTGAGGAATTCTGAGAATATAACTCACTTCCTTCATGAGTTAATTACAATAACAGTATCCAAACTGGAGATCCACACTGCTTGCTACTACTTGGCATATCTGTAAGAAGGGGCATTGCCTGATGCAAGTTCTTTCATTCTAAATAAAAGCAAATTATTAGGAGGAAAAAATAAAAGGTGGGAGATGATCCTTGATATAATGGAAAAGGGAGGTCATCATCAAGAATAATGTGGCCATGGGTATCTTGGAAATCTGGGGTGGGACCAAGAAGATAAGTAAGGTATTTCCATTGCTACCAGTCCCTTATTTAGAGGCTTTCTCTCTATACTCTCCTTTATTAATATTTTTTTTTTTGCTATTGTTGATTTTAAGAATAACCCTGATGTGAGTCCCTGTCTGCCCAGAATGAATGGAGAAAGATTCAAGTCCAAAAATAAACTGTACATGGTATTTTTATCCTAGTTTCTGAGTAAGTCCATATTTCCGTAGAAGAAATTATTCTCCAAATATAAATATCATCAGTTACTAAACTCAATGGTAAATAGCAGTGGTTTTGCATACTTTCCCAAGGAAGTATAAAAGGCCTGCTGTTCTCTGCAGTGTCAGCTTCCTTGGATTAGCCTGTTGCAGTACAAGTAATGAACAGATGTGCTATTCAGATATGTTGTGTATAAGAACTAACTGAGGATAGGCCATATTTTATTCTGCTAAGTACCTCATTAAGTAGTGCCAGTCATATTCAAAAGAAGAGTACTCAAGCCAGATTCTTTGACAGGGGTGTCTCACTGAGCCTAGTCAGTAAAATATGAATAACATATGAACTCCCTAAAGTGATATAAACAATGGGAGACAAAATCTAGTTGTGGATGCAAGAATTCACTGCTACTTTGGTACATAAGCGTCTCTAGCATGGTAATCAACTGAGAACAGGGACAAGGGAAGGAAACACATGTTCTGAACCATGTTTCATCACATCTGAAATGATACAGGAACCACAGTCTTTTCACTTGGTTATCCTGAGTGCCCACTGCTGCAATATTTTACCTGTTTTGAAAGGAGTTCCTGATCTTATGGGAAGTTGGCTGAGTTTCCTTGAGAGTCTGACAGAATAATAGTGAAGCAAGCATAGAAGGAGCAGAAGAGTAAAAAGAGAAGACTAGAAGGGAAATAGAATAATTTGTGGTCTAGAAGTGTAATAAGCACTGAGCTGTAGTGCAGACTTACTCGCTGCACAGAACTCTTGATTACAGCAGGAGGATGAGTGTTGAACTGAGGCCAGACTCTGACAGTGTGAATTGCAGCAAGTGGGGGATAGCATAAATTATTATTGGACATAGCAATGTAAGTTAGGCTTTTTAAATCTCAGGTTCCTTTTGCATGAAAATATATTAAATTGTTGTGTATTTTTTCTGGCACCGTGTACATAGATATGCAATAATGATGATTATTTCTCCTCTACACTGCTGTAAACAGAGGAAATCTGTATGGTAGCATACCTTACAGATCCTTTGCTGTGCTATAATAGCCTTAATACTGTACTATTGAAGATAATGACACGTACGTATTCTCTGTTCTACCAATAATAGTATCCCTTATGAATATGGAGGAGCAGAGGGAATGTAATATCTTTTAAATAAAAATTGCTCTTTTAATATTATGAAAATACAAAGCTGAACGAAATGAATCACAGTATTCATCTGTAAATACTTAAAGCTTATTTTTTGCTTTTAAATCAGTTAAAAATTGGATCAAGTAAGACCTCTGAGTAAGATTGAATTGCATGTAGTTACGTGATCCCTATCACATTAGAATGGATTTAAAAAAAAGTATAAAAAAGCAGTTCTGCTTCTCCCATTATCAGTGTTGTGTGTGTATTATGTGTGTATTCCCTCATACATCACAGTTTATATATCTTTGCTCAAGAATATGCTTTAGCTATTAAAAAAGAATAATAATGATCAAAAAGTCATACCAAAGTGATAGGTCTGTTTCAACTTGACTCGATACTCAGATATCCACCAAATTTTTCTTTTTAATAGTCGTATGAGAGAGTGACAAGACAATGCATCTGAAATTTTTGAAAAAAGGTAAAAACTAGATAAGCAATTTTTTTTTTTCTTTCCAAACCCTTTAAACATCTCAAAAAGAAATAAAAAAAGGTTTCAGGTCCTGCTGATAAAAGGCAACACAACACTTCCTAGAGAATAAAGTGACTGAATTCTGGAAAATGCCCCTAGAATTAAATTTTACTTAAGTAGGAATAAGTCTAGGTGCTTCTAATAATTCAGAAAGCATACCTATGATATATCTTCTATTTTTTATGGCATCGTACGTGTCCTTGTGACTAAATGATCATAGGGGTTTGATCCCCGTCTTTGGTATGTTCTTGTGCCAAGTTGTAGAAGAATGTGGGTTTTGATGTTGGAAATGAATTGTAGAATGGCTTTAAATTGCATCCAGGAGCATCAAAGTTTTGGACTGTCCTTGTGATGACATCACTTTGTATTTTAATGGCATTTGGGATGATACTAGGCATTTCTTATGTCTTTAGCTTTCTATTGACTATGGAATTTGAAGGATATAGCCAAGCTGCATTTTCATGGTGCTTGTTTGCAGAGAGTGGAATCAGTCACAGTTTGGGTTTTCGAGGTGCAGCAGGAACAGCCAGTTAATGCATCACCTGTGTTACAGACAGCAGGCAGAGGGAGCAAAGATTGGACACCTTTAGCAGAGCTGTTAAAACTCTATTATTTTAGGTCTGATCTACCAAATACACAATGGTACCCTATTCATGAACTAAGACTTATTTTTCTGTGTAGGTATAGCATTAGGAGTAAAAGTTAATTTGGCTTCGTTTGCAAAACCCGTGCAGCTGGCAAGCTGTGTGCCGGCCTGCGTGTGCTGGCAGGAGCAGAGGAAATTGTTTTCTGGTTTGCTTGTACTGCTGGAGGGTTTGGGGCGAGCGAAGGAGCACGGTGGAGGTGGGACAGCTTTTTCCTTTTTCTGGGAAACTTGATCTGCGCTTAGTTCTGAAATTCCCTGAGCCACCTCGACAGTGTCTTTTCCTTCCTTAAAAGAAACCTCACAAAAAACAGCAGCCAGGGCTCGCAGCATTGCTTTGGGCACAAAGGTTTGTTAGCCAGGCTATGCATTATTCAGCATTGGAATATTCGTTTCAATAATTAATACATTAATAGGAGGAAAGCGCGAGCGCGGGGCGCGGCGGAGGGCAGGAGCCGTGCCGAGGCGGGGGCGCAGTGCGGGGCGGCGGCCGCGAGGGGCCGACGGTGAGCCGGGAACGGCGGCGGGGGAGCGGGGGGAACGGAACGGCGGGGGGGAGCGGGGGGGAGCGGGGGGAACGGCGGGGGGGAGCGGGGGGAACGGCGGGGGGAGCGGGGGGAACGGCGGGGGGAGCGGTGAAACGAGCGGTGAAACGGCGGGGGGAGCGGCCGCGGCGGCGAGTCCCGGCGGCGCGCAGGCGGGGGGAGCGGGCGGCGGCTCCGCGGAGCAACAGGGCTCACCCCGGCTGCGCCCCTGCCGCGGTTGCTGGCTGGAGCTTTAAAAAAGCAAGCAATAAAAGCCCTATAGTAGAGAGCTGCTTTCTCCTCTTGGTGAGGTTTTTTTGTTTGTTTGTTTTTGTGGGGTTTTTTTGTGTGGTTTTTTTTTTTTTTTTTGGGGGGGGGTAGGTAAGCGTTACCAAAAACCGGCACAACAAGTGGATGACGCGGGCGGGTGCTGGCTGAGCGCTGCCGTCTGGACGTGTCTGGGGGAGAACCTGCAAGAAGCGACACCCGTCGCTTTCCTCAGTGGAAACAGGCTTGGTGCACGGATTATTTAACGTTTGATTTACAAATGTATCGCAAAAGCTGGGCTTGGAAAGGCTAGTAACCGCGCTTATCCATTCATTCTGCCTCGCACACGCACAAACACACCGCCTTCATTTTTTCCCTTTCGGAAGCAGACTCGCGCTTGTTGCCTTTTCGCGAATGCCCGGGCGAGGAGCAGCGCCGGGGCTGTGCGGAGCCGCCGCTCCCGCCGCTCCTCTCGCACCCGGAAAGAAGGGAGAGGAATCACTCGTCAACCTGTGGTGTGACTGACCACACACACCTGCAAATGTAGAGCGGTCGGCACAGCCCCCTCAGGACTGCTGGCACCAGATCCTTACACTAGCAAGAACAGCACTGCTATTTCTCTGCATAGGAACAGTAAGTATAATAGCACTTTAAAGATATTTTCTGCATGACATGTAGGTACGGTTTTAAATATAGCATCATTTAATTGTTCGTTTTCACCTTCTATCATGTATTACTAGCTATAACTATAAATGAGGCTTCTCTTTCAAAGGGGGTGTGCGTGTGTATTTGTGTGTGTGTGCTTGCATGTAGATGTTGCTTCAGTGCACCTGCAGTTGTGTTTTCCTGACATACCATATCACATCATGGTATTTTCACTTGAGTGAGCATTGTACATGCCTGTTTCCAAATTAAATTCGGTGACATGTTCATTATGGTTGAAACACAATTCAGTTGTAGATTAAAATGTAACATTCCTGCATTTTACATGTTTCTACAAGTAGAAAAAAACCTCCTTTGTGTAGATACATTTATTATTTATTTTTTCATATAGATATCTGTAGGTGTACCTATTACATATGTACTCAAAGATCTGAATGCACTGTGTATTGCAGTATTTTTATTAGTGTTTATATGTGTTGGTGTTTCAGAAGCATGCATGTGTTTGTGTATGGATGCAAGTGCTTATATGGGTGGGGATTTTGTATCTCTGTCTATATATGTGACATACCCACCCACAACCTTACCCACAGAGTCGTTCAAAATCTCTGTGCGTGTGATGTGGGTGTGTGTGTAATGTAAAAGTGTGAATAGTGTGGGTAGGGGAAGATCTGAATACCGTGGTAATAGATGACACAGTTTCATTTGATCAGTGTGACCTTTTAGGAAAACAATCCAATATTTTCCCTTTTTTTTTTATTTTTTTTTTTTTTTTTTATTTTTGTGTGTTTGTGCATGTGCCTCAGGTTGAGTGCTTCTACTGCATGACCATAACCAAAAGGTGACCCATCCACTCCCTTGTGTTCTATGGGGACCTCAGAGCCAGTTTCTCAGTCTTCATCTCCTCCTCCTCTTACCACTGCTGCTGACGCCCTGGGTGCTGCTCCCAGGTTTGAGACATTGTTGACAGGCTGAAGAAAGGATTTGCAAAGACCTCCTCACTGTGTAAATAAAGTGATGGCTGGAATTAACTTCAACTCCCTAAGTAATGGTATCAAACAGTAAGATTGCTAGGCCAAAGCATTACCAGGAATGAATTATGAGGAAAGGTACTATTTGCATTTGGTTGTAATGGTGAACTAAAATCATCTGTGGAGAGCAGGTACCCTTTGAGTTGCATATTTTTTTCCTCATTAATGCAGTCTTTGTAGCCGGCAAGGTAGTCATGATTCGGATCAGATCTGTGATAGCCACAGGAGATAAATGAAAATAAAGGGTCTTGGTGGATGAAAGAACAAGGCCTCAGCTGTTCCCTGGTTCAATTTGAGAATTTCATCTTTTCTTGTTAGCAAAACAGTAGTTTGTGTCAAACATTCTGGACAGTAAGAAAATGCAGATCTGTGGTATTCCAAAACATAGATTAGGTGTTACAAATATGTTGCCCTGCTCTGTGTCCAAGGGGCTGCCCTCCAAATGCAAATGGCTTTGAACTTTCTAGTTCAAAGTTAAGGTTACGCTTTAAATAAAACCTTTTTGCATTAAGCGATTGAAAAACAAGCAGTTGCAAAATGGAGGTTGCAATGGTGAGTGCAGATAGCTCTGGGTGCAACAGCCACATGCCCTATGGATATGCGGTCCAAGCTCGGGCCCGAGAGAGAGAGCGGCTGGCACACTCGAGAGCTGCAGCCGCTGCGGCTGTAGCAGCAGCAACAGCAGCGGTAGAAAGTGGGGCAACAGGTGGAGGTGGACCATATCACCACTACCATCAGGAACAGGGTCGAGGTGCATCCTCCTCTCATGGTGGGAATGCGTCACGCAGCAGCATGCCCCACCGCCAGAGTGGTAAGAGGCGGAAGAAAGGAAAAAAGAGGAGCCACCACTTGGGAAGTAGGGAGTGTGGGGCCTCCTTCCCCTGTTCTGAGCTGCTCCCTCTCAGTGGTTCTGAAGAGAGAATACTGAAGGACTTGAGTGAGGAGGAAGAGGAGGATGAAGATGAGGATGAAGACGATGAGGAAGAAGGAAAGCTCTACTACAGTGATGATTATGGGGAAGATGAGTTTTCATACTCAGACCAGCCACCTGATGATGGTGGAGGCCCGGGGGGTTACAGCTCTGTTCGCTACAGTGAGTACGAATGTTGTGAGCGTGTGGTAATCAACGTGTCAGGACTGCGGTTTGAGACCCAACTGAAGACACTGGCTCAGTTCCCGGAGACGTTGTTGGGTGATCCAGCGAAGCGAGGGAGATACTTTGACCCTCTCAGGAATGAATACTTCTTTGATAGGAACCGGCCCAGCTTTGATGCCATCCTGTACTACTACCAGAGTGGTGGTCGGCTGAAGAGGCCAGTCAATGTACCTTTTGACATCTTCACTGAGGAGGTGAAATTCTACCAACTTGGGGAGGAGGCCATGCTCAAGTTTAGAGAGGATGAAGGATTTGTCAAAGAGGAAGAGGACAAAGCTTTGCCAGAGAACGAGTTTAAGAGGCAGGTTTGGCTGCTGTTTGAGTATCCAGAGAGCTCCAGTCCAGCCAGAGGCATCGCCATTGTCTCTGTCTTGGTCATCTTGATCTCCATTGTCATCTTTTGTCTGGAGACTTTGCCAGAGTTCAGAGATGACAAAGAATTCATCATGTCCCTGAGTTTAGGGAAGGGGCTTTCCAATGAGTCACTTCACCTGGATGCTGGGGAGCACACCATCTTCAATGACCCTTTTTTCATTGTAGAGACAGTATGCATCATTTGGTTCTCTTTTGAGTTTACAGTGCGCTGCTTTGCATGTCCAAGCAAAGCACACTTCTTCAAGAATATCATGAACATCATAGACATTGTCTCCATCTTGCCTTACTTCATTACTCTGGGCACTGACTTGGCGCAGGAGCAGGGCAGTAATGGTCAACAGGCCATGTCTTTTGCCATCCTGAGGATCATCCGTCTGGTCAGGGTGTTTCGCATCTTCAAGCTCTCCAGGCACTCCAAGGGTTTGCAGATCCTGGGTCATACACTCAGGGCCAGCATGAGGGAACTCGGCCTCCTCATCTTTTTTCTTTTTATTGGAGTCATTTTGTTTTCCAGTGCTGTTTACTTTGCAGAAGCTGATGAGCCTGCCACCCATTTTCAAAGCATCCCAGATGCCTTTTGGTGGGCTGTAGTGACCATGACTACAGTTGGTTATGGGGATATGAAACCCATAACGGTGGGTGGGAAAATAGTTGGGTCCCTGTGTGCCATTGCGGGAGTGTTAACCATTGCTTTACCAGTGCCAGTGATTGTCTCCAATTTTAACTATTTCTACCACAGAGAAACTGAGAATGAAGAACAAACGCAGCTGATGCAAAATGCAGTCAGTTGCCCTTACCTCCCAACAAATTTACTGAAGAAATTTAGAAGCTCATCATCTTCATCCACAGAGGATAAATCAGAATATTTGGAGATGGAAGAAGGAGTTAAAGAATCTCTTTGTGTAAAGGAGAAAAAAAGTCAGGACACAGGGAATAGCAGTGAGTCAGAGAAGAAAAACTGTGTAAATTCAAATTCTGTGGAAACTGATGTGTAATTTTGAACGTTTCCAAATATATTTATGCATTAAAGAGTGCAGTGAAAATGATGAAATATGCAAACAAGAGTCCACAGCATACAGTAGTATGCCATTTAATGGTTAAATACAAATAAAAAGCATTGCTAAACTTGTATTACATATCAAGTAAGTGGTATAACTTGAGGAAGGGATTGCTAGATCTGATATAATTTCAGACTTTATATTTTTATTAGAATGCAAGTGTTTTGCACATGAGGCTGAAAAATTTATTAAAACCAAGTCAGTTTTAAAGTGGGTGCATGAACTGTCGACATCACTAATAACAGCTCTGTGGTAAAAGTTGGCATTCAGAGGTATTTACTATGTAAGAAGCAATGAAGTTTGGTAGTCATTTATCTATTTATCAGTGCTTTAATAGCAGCTACCATAAATCATTGGATACCATAGTCATTGTTTTTCAAATGGTAAATTTATTGTAAAAAGATATTCTACAGAAGATAGATCTAAATTTTTCTCTTGAAATCTATAATGCTTGTTTTTAACTGGAAATTTACTTTGAAAAGGCTGCTGACCCTCCAGAAATGGTTTATTTTTATAACTCTCTTTGGAGGAATTGCAGCACTTGTTGTCTAATAACGAAAGAAATGAAGTAAGAGAATCATTTAACCTGGTCTGACTGCAAAGGCAAAATGACTGGAATGCTTTTTTGCACTACTTTATATGCTGGAGATATATTGAAAGAGACTTCATACTGTGAATGTTTACTAATGTAATAGTTCAATGACAATCATTGGAAGAGTGAATCCTGCATCATAGTTTATTGTTTATTTTTTTCTTTATGTGATGCTGATGGTGAAACAGCTAACATTACATTAATTCCATACTTTTTTTCACTATGACTATCTGTGATCTGGAAAAGGATTGTGAAGTAAAATTTTATAATCAAATTACTTGAAATCAGTGTTTTCTACTGATGCCCTCAAGAAATACCAACCTAGTTTACATCTTTTTCCTGGTTACTTTAACATTTAGAGTCTATGATTAGTACATGCACTTTGTCAGTATTGAAACTCAATGTATGGGAGGAGAAGGTAGCAGTAATAAGATATTCAGTTGTTACAGTACTGACAATTGAGAATTGCTAACTTTTAACATGCTATTATTGGTGCTGCATTTTCCCTTAATTACAGCTTTCACCCATGTGTATTTGAAGCAACATTTAAGATCCAAAATAGGCATTCTGGGATTCAAAATTAACATGTTGGGTTCCGTGCAGTCCTTGAGAAAACATTCTGTGATTTCTTTTCACTGATTCTTAGGCCAGCTGTATTTAACTGTGTATCAAAAACTCCCATTGCCCTTCCTAGGAAATTAAGGTAGGTAAAGATTATCTGTCCTACAGTACATCCCAGACTCCAGAATGAAAAAAGTAAGATATTGCTGCATATAACATAAATAATAGATTCAGAACAGGCATTTTTTTCAGACTTATAATTACCTAGGGAAGGAATAATTAAACTGGAACTGTTTTTGAAGAGGCACTGTGGAACATTCCAGATTATAAAACTTGAACCAAATTAGCATATGCACTTTAAGGGTTAGGACAGGCCATTATGAGAGAAAAAGGGGCTTTTCAACTGTGAAATTACAGTAGTTTTGCAGTATTTATTTAAAACTGAGTTGAGGATTTTTGCAGGGGGAGAACTGGTTAGTGACTGATTAATAGTTCTGGAGCTGAAAAGCAACAGTAAAAGCAGTCCAAATTGGGCACCCATGAGATTATGCATAATCTGTCAGATAAGCATTGTTTGCTGTATGCAGCATCCAGTGGTACTGAATAGAGCCATAGACATAGGTTTTTCTTTAATGGTTGATTTTTGTCTTCGTGGATTTTCTGTGAATTGCCTCTTCAAAAAGTTTCTCTGCTTGTCCTCTTTTGCATTGCAAAAGAACTAATAAAAACCAACACACACACAAAAGACTGTGTTGTGCTGAGCCCTGGTTCAAAACTTGTGTTTAAATATCTGATTTCTAATTTAAAATCATAGAGCAGGCTTCACTATATTTTTGATGTGAAGTATTAAACCAAGCTCCTTTTTAGTGTGGTGATATTAATTCCAACTATATTTTGAATGAAACAACTCAGTAATTTTATACATAAGTGTTTGCCAAAATTGAATATTGCATTTTGTTGTAGCACACCCAAGTTAAATGTACTGAGTACTTTTTCTTACAGGGTCAATATCTGCATCGAGGATGAGCATTCTGTAAAGTCTGCTAAAAATCTGTAACTGAGTGTGTTTCTTTAACAGCTAGTAGTTAATGATGTAAAGAGCATAAGGGTTCTCTTGTAAACTGGCTTGCTAATAGTTCTGTGTAATACCAGAGACCATACAATACCAGGGACCATGGCAATAATGTAGGAGTAAAAGAAATACAAACTAGATAAATAAAGGACTCTAGAGAAAATTGGTAGTATATGTTTGCCGTATTGACTGGTTGAAAGGGAAGGTGGTTCATAAGAGGTGGAATTTTAGATCTCTAATGGATATAAGGAAGAAAATTATTTGAACAACTTAGAATATGTTCACACTGTGGACATGAACTTCAGCATGAGGTAACTGCTTAAGCATTACCCAGCTTCTCCACCAAGTCGTTCAGCTATTCTGCTCCCAGTGCACAACCTTTTAGTTTAAATCAAGCATGGCCACGTCTACATTATGCTGCGATCATAGCAGTACCTTACTCTCTGAAGGAAAAGGTCTTACTGTAGGAGCTTGTAGCATCTGGCAGAGCAACATTCTGGGTGTGTCAGCACTACATACTGCAGCGCTGTGGAGGCACTTCCTAAGGTAACAGTGGAGCCTGCTCTGCCTCCTGCAGTGAATAAACCTATGTACTTTGTCAGTATAAACAAGATCTACTATAGCTTAATGTTAGGTTGTGCTATCAGTTTGGCAGACCATTCCGAATCACAGAATTGTGCATTCCGGTATGGAAGCAAATACCTTTACTTGGCCTGGTTTATAATTTGATTATTCAACTACTCATTGGTCCAGTCAGTTACAAAACAGCTTGATAATGCCAAAGTCCTACCCTTAACATGCTAAAACCCAAAGATCCCAAGTGCTTAACAAGAAACAGAAATTTCCATGAAGTATTACTTCAGTTGAAATTGTGTGCCAGAGAAACCCTGTAACTTGAGCTGTTATGGCTCTAAATTACTACTACTGCTTCTGTCAGAGCTTTCCCAGTGCTACTGGATACTGACAACTCTGAGAAAAATAATGTTATCGTCACTTGAGCATTTTACATTTTAAATTATAGTGGTGAAGCACGTTCCTGATGTAAGTGATGTGAATGGAGTTACACTAGGGATCATTTTAGTTCTACTAATGTAGTTCAAATTATTTCACATTGACATACATTTCAGCTAAAAATAATGCAAAATGAGATATTTTGATATTTCAGGTTCACTTGCAGTGGTGAAAAAATTTGGAGGAGTTCCATAAGAGTTCATGGAATCACAGCAGCATCAAATCAGATTTCAAATATAGGCTGATACTTAACTGTGTGTTGGCACTTACTGAAAGAAATTCATAAATCTTTTTATAGTAAACTTACGTGCCAAGGCCAGACTCATAAGGAGAGAGTTTTACCAGCTGAGGGATTGGATTTAATGCCTGACTTTAGAGATACATAATTTTTTTTTCTTTATTACATGCATGGAGTTTTCTGATGTTAGATCGATTCCTTGAAAATTTCAGCCCAGATGCTGAAACTTACATAAAAAGAAGTGTTGTATCACCCTGTTAGGGAGATCTTAGTGAAGTTTTTTCATGTTCAGTTAAGGTTTCTCAGAATGATTCCACAAGAGGCCAGTTCCATTTGGTGGAAAGTGTGACTTGTTCGTATTGGAAGATTTCTTCTGCTTACATAGTTTTGTTGTGTAGAGTACATTTCTGTGACATCCATGTAATGTGGAATAAATTTGGGAGATCAAGGGAGTGAAAAAATTCACTGCTATTATGATTACATCTAATTCATGACAACAGTGTTCTTGGTGTTTGGGGATACCAGTAGCCATTATGGAATTTTTGTGGTCATAAAAAATGGGATTTGAGTGTGTTTTCAGTCAGTAAAACTTTCCAAATAGCTTTGGAATGTGAAAATTATTCTGCATAATACTGGCGTGCAGAGAGTTTGAGATCAAGGCATAACTTTGACTAAAGGATCATTATCTTGTAACTCCTGACATGGAAAGTTCCTGTCAAGTGTGCTTTCAGGTATTGAGTGTCATTTGACTTGGGATATGAAAAATCAGTGATAAACTACCCAAGAATATGAAATACTTCCTCTTAATATTTGGATAAATGGAAAACCAGCAAAATGTCAGAAAGGCTGTTCTTACTGTAACTAGTTCATGGAAAGTCTTTACTGCACAGCATTGGAAAGTGAAATGTGTCTTTCTGATGATCCCACACTTGTAAAACTAATTCTGAGTGAAAATTAATTTTTAGCATAAGCTTTATACTTTATTGGTAGTCCTCAAATTAAATATGAACTATCCATGGTGCTTTAGACCATCACTACCTTCCTCTAACTGTTCCTTACTGGTTCCTTATTACTTTATTACTTCTTACTGTCATTGTGTCCAGTTATAAAAACTACTTTTTTTTTTTTTTTTAGTTAATTGGCATGAGACAGTAACAAAAGCAAAGATTAAAAAAAAATCTATGATCTCTAGCACACAAGTTACATATTTTTCTTATTAAATAAACACAAATGACAGTCTGTAACATCTGTAGACATGGGACAGGGTATGCAGTTTCCTGTTGATATAACTGAATGATGAAATGCTTCTGATTTTGCAGTGAATAAGATCTAGTTTATAGATTTACCATATTTGTGCACCTCTGTTTGAAACAAATGCTTGCAGAAAAATTGGCAATTTTAAGAGAATGAACATTCCTTCCTTTCCACAGAGATCATCTAATGTGGAAAAAATTATTGACATTAATGCTGGTTAGAGTGCATAAATGTTTTGTACCTGGCAACCAGGCACGAACATGAAATTTTACATATTGCTACCATGTTTTCTGTGTATTCAGAATTCTGATGACGTTAAATCTGAAGGAAAACTCATTAAAGTATCATGTACTGAGATGGTTGAATTAATTTTCATTTTTAGACCTTTTCTGTAAAATTATAATGTTCCTTGAGACCTTTTTCTGCAACAGGTCCTTTGGAAAATAGATACATAAGTATATAAGAAGGAAAGAAGAAAAATCTTAAATTACATGTCAAAATCTGATAAACTATTCTAATTAAGGGAAAGTGGGTAAGTAAAAACTTTTTTTTCTTCACTTGTGCATTTGTGGTATTGCTGTTGAAAAAAAATTGGAGCAAATTAGTTGAACTGATCTGCAGCTGCAAGAGAGGTACTTCATGCGTTGTGTCTGTTGCAGGTACTCTCTGATCTCAGGAGCAGCAGCAGTTGCATCTTGGGTCAGCTCCTGCTACTGCCTCCTGCAGCTGGGAAGATACTCGCTCCGCTGGGCGGGCGGGAGAGGGTGCCGTGACCTGTTTAGTCTGTCTGGTAAATCCATGCTCCTACCACAACTATCCCATATGAGTGCAAAACAGTAAATTATTTGCTCTGGTGTACCATGTAACCCTTTTAGACAGGAAGGTCTCAAAGTCTCCAGGTTGCTTGTTCCTAAGCTACGGAGGGAGTCACGCCCACACTCACAAAATACACATTTAGACACCCGACTTCTGTTCATTTCATTAGGAACTAGGGTGCAAAATGCTTCCTAAATCTGGGACCAAGTGATTTGCTTAGGGTCTAAAGGAAGACTGTGGTGGAGCAGGTTTCCCAAGTGTTATAGGGATTCCTTAAGGAGTATAGGAAGTGAGAGCACATATCCAAGATAGATTTGGGTTTCTTTTTGTTTTTAATCTCTTGCTCAAGTGTTCCTGGGGCATTTGTGTTGAGAGTAGGGAGGAGGATGGATAGATTAATTTTAGATAGATACTTTTTTCTGTTCTTAGTAGTCAGAATAAGCTAAAGTGATGTATTTATTTATGTAGCCACAACAATTCTTATGCAAGCCATTTCAGTGGGAGAACATACAGTGACTCTGGAATTAGCATCCTGGACATGAGTGGTAGCATTCAATTCAAAAAATCAAGTAAGACATACTCAGTATTGCTCCTGTGCTTTTAATTTGTTTTAAGTATGCTGGCTTTGAGTCCAATGCTCTTGCACTGAAGTAATCTCAAATTTCTTGTGTCACTACTAGGCAGTGCTTTATCTAGTATTGCAGTATATGGCAACCGAGAAGACAATTGCTTTTCCTATTAGTATTTATACTGATATGATTGTGATGATGACTTATGCTGTAGAGGAGGGATGCTCCAGAGTGCTTCACTGTATATTTATCTTCATTGCGAGGTGAGAAACACTCCATTATGTGCTTTGGAAAGAAATCCAATCACATGCATGGGGAGACAGCATTCCCTTTTCTCCTTTGCCTTGTATAATCAAAGGACAAGGCCTGCTCGGGGCACTGTGGTACGTGCTTGCCCTGCACTGTAGGTTCAACCATGTTTTTCCCTTCTGTTCCATTTAGATCATTGAAGGTTTGTTTTCAGTCAGAGCCCATGATATCTGTCCTTGATGTGGTTCATCCACTATATGAATGAACTTTAATTTCTGCCTTTTGTTGTCTCCCTATTGGTACAGCTTTGTAATGAATTCAGGGAGTCATTCAGTGACAGTTTCTTCTTGCACAATGGAGCCTGAATAGCACAGTGAGCCTGAATACAGAAAACTGCAAAGAACTCTTGATATGAAATAAAGGTACCTTTTGTTTTTGTGTTGAAATACAATAAGATATATTTGTATTACAACAAGTTAGACATTCCACAGACTGTACATTTCAGGGTAAATAAGTTCTGTTTCATGAATGGGCTTGTACTTCCAAGGTGCCCTCAATTTGCCCTTAATCCATCAGGAATTTAAGATGTTGAATATTTTTCAGGTCTCAAGTGTGAAGGAAGATGATCCCTCTTTGCATTCAAAATGGCAAGGCATTATTATAAAGCAGAAATCTTGCATATTTTTCAGGTTAAAGGAGGCTAAGGAATAGTAGCTTCTCTGTTAAAGTCTTTCTTAAATATTAGCTGCAGATACACATACTGAGAAAAATATGGTTTTGTAACAGTAAAGGTGTAGAAAAGATTTTTGGTTGCATGTTTAAAGGGCATCATCGTGTTTTACAGTGTGCCAAATGACAAGCTCAGGTAAACATTATTCTAGCAAGAATCTATCCTACTTCAGTGAGTACGGTAGAGGTATTGTATAGCAATTTATACTTCAGGAATTAGTTCTGTGTACATTTATTTCTGTTACTTACCAGCACTGTTATTTTTCAGGAGTTACGGATCACAAAATTAAAGACAAA